GGCGGGCCAGGTGGGGGGGCGGCCCCGGGGGGTGCGATCCCGTTGCCGGTCCTGGTCTGGTACGGTCGCGACACTGAGGGTTGCGATCCCGTTGCCGGTCCTGGTCTGGCACGGTCGCGACACTGAGGGTTGCGATCCGTTGCCGGTCACAAAAAAAAAAAAAAAAAAAAGACAAAAAAGGCAAAATTCCAGAGGCAAGATACTGCTTTCCTTGCAGAATGCATATGGCAACTAGAATCATTCAGGACTCTCAAGAGTAAACAGAACTATTTAAGTTTCTACCCATGGCATTTCCATTACCTGAATTTTTATACCTTGTTTAAGCAAGGACAGAGAGGGTCTATAAAATCATATATCCTGATTACCTTTAATTTCACTAACAAAAAGCCCATTTTTAGCATTCATTATGCTGGGTCAACTGGCCAGTTTTTACCACTTCTCATGTTCAGTAATCTAATTCCTAAAGTGGCATTTTTTGATGGATCTTTGAATGAAACACCTGCTGAGGTGCGTGGTAATAGAGTGTGGAATGAGCTTCCTGATTAGGACACATTGTGATGACCCACAGGTACATAATTTTTCATTAGAAGCCTTGGAGAACCCAGATTACAAAAACCAACCAAAACTATTACAATGTCTATTGTGAAACATATAAATATGTTACAGACATTTTAAAATCAACACTTCAATTCTGGAAGCAATGTATGCCCATTAAATTCTTGAGTGTTAGAGTTCATTGAGCCTATATTTGAATCTCGGCTTTAACACTAAAAGTCTTTTTGAACTTGAATAGATTGTTTTTAATCTGTGAGCCCCATAGTTTTAGAAATGATTTACAGTAGTACCATCATGGGGATGTGAAGAAGAACAAATGAGAAATGTACATTAGTTACACATAATTTATACCCAACACACTCACTATCTTTGTAAACTTGGAGAGCATATTTAAACTTTATGTATATGAGTTTCTCTTATATGAAATGGGGCTGAGAATATCATCCTCATGACTATGTTATTAAAGAGTAATGAGAGCATATATGTTAAAATCACAGATTTTTGAACCAGCACTCCATAAATTCTCAAAAAGTAGAAATATCATTATTGGCATTATTACACTTTCTGTGCAGGCACATGTATGTCCACTCTTATTAACCAATGTCTCATACTCTGTTTATATTGCTGGTTAAAACCCTAAATTGAGGTGGTATGAAAAGAATTTTATTAAAGACACTTCTCCAATCACTTCTTCAACTTATTGACAAGAGCATCTTGAGCTATTATCTTCTCAAAATCATTTAAATAAATGTTCCCATTGCAACAGTAAAATTTGGTTAAAAAAATACTATCTTTCTGTGAGTAGCATTTTAAATTATTAACTAATTTTTTTCTCATAGTAATTTCTCTCTCCTACTATTCCTGCTTTTGATTCATGCCAATTTGTGTTCCTGGCTTTAGGGTAACATAACAGAAAAAATCAATGGTAAAAATAGGCTCTTTCTAGTTTTAAGTCCCAGTGCACAAAGAACCCATAGCACAAATGAAATCTTAGAAAAAACCGCTAATGACTGGAGCAAGACTCTCCTGGTTACCTAGTGAGTCACAAAGGAAGTAGTCAGAAACTGTTTTTTAGTGTGGTAGCTGGACACCCAAGAATAAATGGCTCATAGTGTGTGTAGGTGAATGAGGCCATGAGGGCATAAACCCTCCTGGGATCCTGTGCTCTATAGGGGTTCAGGTACAGTGCAATATATTTCACAGCTGTAGCAAGCTATAGCAAGGATTGAGTTTTATGTTTTGGCAGGTGAAACTTAGAAATCCTCACATAATCTTATCTAAGTAAATATAAATGAGAAATAGCATAGTTGTTCAGATATGACTTCATAAGTCACTGAAGTGTCAGAGAGAAAAAGGATCAGAGGTTGTAATGACTGGGCAAGGGTTCCATCCACAGCCACCCGTAACTGATGGAAAAAAGGCACAGACTGCTAGTGACATCCCTCAGATAAAACCTGTATAAACTACAGAGAACAAGATGGTTAATTGAAACTAACTCTTTCACATAGAAGGCTTGTCTTCCAGGGTGTATGTGCAGTGATGGAGGAGACACTGAGGCAGGTTGCAACTTGAGGGGATTAATTCCAGAAATATGGATTTAATTTTCTTGCCTTTCTTTCAATCTGCCTGTTCTTTAATCACAGATATAGGCTTCTGGCCCCTGACCACAGATGACTACAGGGGTCATATCATGGCAGAGCAGAAGGCAATCTGGGATAAGAGCTGACACATGCAGTGTGAACTGACATTTGCCTCCTTGTGTTCTGTCCCTTTGAGGTAGAGTACCTATACTCTGAACTTATGGTCTAGAAATAAAGAAAATCAACCTTTCTTCCAGTTTTTTAAATAATGTAAAGAGAAGTAAAGAGACCTGGAAAAGCACATAAATGGAGTACCTTTGAGAACAAACAGTGAAAGAATCTAACCTATTCTGAAAGGTGGGTATCAGTGAGCACTTGCCCTAAGAAGGGATTTAGGCTGGCACCTGTGGAGAGTTGGGACAGTGAAGGGACCGGAGAAAGTGATTCCAACAAAGATAGTAACCTACGTCAAAACTCTTGATTTGGGAAAGTAAACAAGGTGTTTAAAGTAAAACTTGAAGTATAGTCAGTGAATAAGGTGAAAAGGTGAGAGGAAACTGATATATGGATGATGAACACACCCTTGTATTCGTCTTTCCTTTTCTGGCTACTTCCCCACACTCTCTCTATACCTGGAGCCAAAAAAGACAGCAATCGGTCAGTACTGATTTTTATGAATATATGCCTTGTGATAGAGAGGAAACTGATATATGGATGATGAACACACCCTTGTATTCGTCTTTCCTTTTCTGGCTATTTCCCCACACTCTCTCTATACCTGGAGCAAAAAAAGACAGCAATCGGTCAGTACTGATTTTTATGAATATATGCCTTGTGATAGCAAAGCCTATTAGAATCTAGTAGAATCCCAATGCATATACATGCTTCATTTGGAGAGATTTAAGTAAATAAAGATTGTATTTAGTAGAGATTCAATGAGATGATGGTTTTTCAAAGATATGATGGCCCTCGTTAATTACGTTGCTGTGAGACAGAAGTAATAAGAAGAGAAAGACAATACCTTGGTTAGGAAACTGCTGGGTGAGTTTTGTGGAACAGCCTGAAAATTCTGAGGATGGAACTCAGAAGGAGGTGGGCTGACTACTGAAGTTTGTGGAGGAGGACACTGCTCCTGGGATGGATTCATCTGTTTGGAGTCACAAGTTTGGGTGACTGTGTCTTTAAATTTCTGAAAGAAAATAGATTATTTTCTTCTTGTTATATAATATATAAAAGCAATATATATTTTTTAATAAGCAGTATATAAAATATATGTATATTTTTTAAGTTGTTCTTTTTTTTTTTTATATGATCATCCCTCTGTCAATTTTCTCTGGAATACTAGCATAAATTTGGACTCCCTAATCCCCTCTTCTAAATACACAGAAGCCAGCATTGCAATCTTTGCTATGACAATGTCAAAGCTCAGATGACTGAAATTTTATCAGTGTTATCAATTCAACCTAACACAGGAGAGCTCTTTCTTCAATGCAAGTTAATCAGTAACAGTTGACTTATACATAAAAATAACAACAGTGACAGTGATATGCAACCTGACAAGGAACCACTTGAATACAGGACCCACATAAAGGTAATTTATACAACTATACAGAGAGATGTAAGTCAAAGTATTGTATGATGCTATTTTCAGGAAAAATCATGTATATACAGGAGAAAATCTAAAAGTCTGTAGAGAAAAATGTGGCATAATATATATGTTGGAATTTCAGATAATTTAAATGTAGTTATTTTTAGTCAGATTGGCTGGTTGTCTGCATATCCTACTTTTTTTTCTAAAATTGTCTTGTATTAAAAAAAATCTGGCATAAGAAAAATAAGGAATAGAGCATGTTTTAATAGTAGCTAGTGTGTTTTGTCACTTGTGGCCCATTGTAGTCTGCCCCCTTCATCGTTTACCAAAGACATATATATATATATATATATATATATATATATATATATATACACATACAGAGAGAGAGAGAGAGAAAGAGAGAGAGAGAGAGAGCCTCCTGCAAGGCAGACACATAACTAGGTTTTGGGATACAGTTGTCCACAGACTCACAAAGTAGCATTAATCTTAGAAATCAGAGTAAAGATGAAAAATAAACACTTATTAACTATAGTTGTGGTAAGTTGCAGAAAAGAAAGAAATGAGGTCCTACCAAAGAGAGAACTATGAAGATTTCACCTAGGTTGCAGTGGTCTATGTGAAGATTCCTGTGGGATAGGAAATCAATACTGGAATCCAGAGGGTGAATGTATTTAGCTTTAAAAGAGTTATCCAAGTGGAGGAAATATGGTGTGTGAAAATCCTGAAGAAAGGAGCATGGTGTGTATCAAAGAAACTTTTACGGATTAGCGAGCAAAGGGGAGAGGTATGAAAGGGACAGGAGCGGCAGACAGTGAGCCCACTGCTGCTTCCACCTGCACAGTCCTGACCTGACACCTCGTTCCCTCCCCCAGAACAACACAGGACAGGAACCTTCCCATAGTCAGGGATAGTGTCTGGTTCATCAAGTATCCCTGTGGAAGCAAAATATTAAAATGTGATAAATTCTCAATGTATACGGTAGATTAACTAGTTAATTATTGCATTGTTTTTAAGTTGGAGATGAGATCAGAATTTTGAGGTCTAATTCCTATAGTTTGGGTAGAAGGAAACGAAAGAGAAGGAGAACAGGAAAAACAGTGTACCTCAGTTGAGGAAGTGCTGGATGGAGCTGGTGATGAGATCTGGGCAGGTGGGGCATGGCCCATGGGAGAGGACGTGCTGGCTCCTGCAGGACAGGGAGGCTGCATCTGCTCCTCAGGCACCTTTTTCTTTTTGGTTCCAGTCTTTTCTGTGGTTGTGTTTTTTCTTTTCTGAAAGTAGTTTAATTTTTTTGTTAATGGTTTTCATTATCAAATGAAGTAGAACACATTTTCATTACTGGGTAGTATGTTTATTATAACTAAAAATGTTTTTCCTGGAGCTTGAGGGAGTGCTGCCCATCCCCCAGCAAGTTGTAAGAGGGGGTTGTAGATGTTTTCGTTAAAAAAAGAAGAGGAAAAAGTTATACACATCATTCTTCTAATTACTGGTGTTGTGGAGTGTGACTGATTTGGAATTAGAAAAACTAGGTTTTTGTAAACATGGGCAAAACATTTTCCCACCTGATTCTCAAATAAATGCACCTCTCTAATAGGAGCAAAGATATAATGTTTATTTCCAGTCATGAGCCCCATAACAATATTTTGGTCAATGAAGACCACATGTAAGACAGTGGTGCCATTAGACTATATTGCATTTTTACTATATTTTTTCTATGTGCAGCTATGTTTAGATATATAAATACTTACCATTGTGTTGCAGTTGCCTAGAGTATTCAGTACAGTAAAACGCTGTACCCGTTTGTAGCCTGTGAGCAATAGGCTATACCATCAGGTTTGTGAAAGTACACTATATGATGTTTGCACAACAATGAAATCCTCTAAAGATGTATTTCTCAGTACATACCCACGGTTAAACAATTCATGACTGTATACATAGTTACATTATGTTTCTAAAAGTGCTTAACTCACGCCTTGCACAAAAAGATGATCAATTATTACGCAATTTTGTCAATTAAAACTTGATGGGAAACTAATGAAGAAATAATTGCCTGATGGAGAGATTGAGTGGAAGAGCCATAGCAGAGTGTCTTCTGTGGGATCTCAAGCCTGCTTGTTTTCCTCAGCTTACCTGAGCAACAGGAGTTTCCTCTGCTCCTTCGGATTTGAGAACTTTGCTTGTGGTAGGTGTAAGTGTAGCAGGACCCAGTTCTCCTTGCTTGCTTTTTTTCGATGGTTTTTTTCCTTTTGCTAAAACAGATTTAGTGTTCTTCACAACTGATGGGGGTGGGGAGGAAGGAGGACACATAAATCCAAAGCAGCTGGTGTAGGACAGCTGAAGCAATTTCAGTACTGTTTACTCTCAGCTCCTGTTTGTGGTCTAGGTATGCTAGTGTCTGCCTTTACTGCATGAGCCCAGCCTGGCTGCAAAGTGACCAACAGTCACAACACAGGCACAGGCACAGGCACTGTCTCATGGTCCTTGGTTCTTCCCTTACTTGTCTCCTCTGCAGTGAGCACATCCCTCCTGTCCTCTGAACTCCATGTACCTCAGTCAAATCTTTTCTTAATTCTGTTCTTTTTTTTTCTTTTAAAAATAGAAAGTTTTTTTCTAATATTGTCTGTTGGGTTATCTTCTGCAAATAATCTATTCAAATTTGAATGGAAATATGATCTCAATTTGTGAAATAACAAGGCAATGTTATTGACCTTTGCTCTTCTAAAATATTTTTGTTTTTTAAAGTTTTTTGATTTTACAAGAGGGGACTTGGTTGCATCTCTGAGAGTTAGACACATTTACATGCTGCCTTGTCTTTTTTACTATAAAGGGTAATGATAGGTTAAATGGTCTCAGTTGAACAGAAACATTGCTTGGTTACATGCACATATTTTAAATAGATGCAACAATCTTCAGGATTTTGTTTCCTCATTATTTATTTTTCTATTGCATTGGAAGTTTCAGTCTCTAATCAACTCCATCTCACTTTTGTTCTTCTACTGCATCCCAATACACCCTCCAAAATACACCAATAACTTCTGGAAAAGGAATGCCTTAAGTTTTCCACTTGTTGGCATCTGAAGTACCAAGATTTTTATGCCCATTTAGGTATAATTTGGGAAAGAGAGGTATCAACCATGACCAAGGTGAGGTTCTATCCAAGGTTGGGAAGGGTTAGGGAAGAATGATAGGGAGGGAGTGTTCCCTGTTCCCTAATACCTTTTAATTTCTCTTTTCTAAGAGTTTTAGCAAGGCCTTTAAGTGTTGGTATATCTTCAAAGAATTCTATTAATTTGTCCAAACCGGCATCGTGTTGGAACTTTTCTTCCATCAAGTCAGCAATCTGAATTCTGTTGAATTGATCTCGCATTTTTCCAGTCAGTCTTAAATCATGGGTCAGTAAAGACTTAATTGCTTTAAAATGATAATCACTGATGTTCTCTAATCCTTTCAGTAGAACAATTTTCTTGTATTCATTCACCATCTCTAAAGATATGAGTGAGCCTATGAAAGAAAAACAGCACACAGTGTTACACATCTCTAAAGACAATTAAAAGACTGGATATGCCTATGTGAGTGAGTGACCAGTATGAAAGTATTGTCCATAGGTGTGTGTGACAAACGGGGACATAATTACCATACATGTCACTGTGGAAAATGAATTGAGGACTGCTGCATTAGAAACTTCTAGGAAAATCTTCCCTACTAATGACGATGGTTGTGTTCAGTCCGGGTGGGTGTGGTGGAAGGATGTCAGGAAACAGGCAGTTGTTGCAGTGTTTAGAGTGTGAGATGTGTAGAGGTCCACTCCTGTGGACCTTTTTAGCATCTTGTGTACTTCGTTGATGATACTCAGTGCATAAAATTGATTCTAATTTTCTTTTTAAATTCATAATGTTTTTTGTTTTAGGAACCATGTCTTTGTGTACTTTTGTATGATTGGAATGTTCATATTTCTGGGGGTCTTAATTGCTTTCTTCTAAGGAGAACACAGGCTTCCTCAGATTGAAAAGGCCTGTAGAATGAAGGAAAAATTACACAAGACACATTGTAGTGAAACTAAAGAATACAAAAAACAAAATGAACACTCTGTAAGACTTCGGAAATAAAGAGTAAAGCACCTACAAAGATTCAAGAATCAGACTGAAACTGATTATTAACAGCAAAACTGCCTGCAGCAGCACAATGGCAAAATTTTTATATAATACTCGTTCAAAATCCCATATCTAATGTATGAAGTGAAAAATTTTGATTTGCTTTGTCAGTGTGACAACACAATTTATTCGCGAAATAAACTATATGTGAAGTGACAGGAGGCTATGCATAATCTTTATTCATTCCACTTAAATTTGAACATTCATATGTCTTGTTGCTAAAATATTAGTGTGTTTGGCTTTGAGGTAATGATCCAGAACTCAGTGGGGTTTCTAGTAATATGGTACTTAGAATATACACATTAAATATTCTTTCTGAAGCCTCCAAATTCTAAATTTCAACACATATCTAGCCAAACAAGTACAGAAGAGGTGCTCTCAAACTTTCTTGAGGGAAAAAATAGTTTTAAAATTACAGTTTTAATACAGACAAAATGATATTTAAACAGGAGAGCCTCAAAATCTATTCTCTGATATTCAAGGCCTCAGTCGTTTTGCAAGACAAAAACCCACACAGAAACATTTATTGAAAGGAATATTCAATAAGAAAACAATAAAGTCAAGAAATAATCAGGCCAAAAGGAAAGAAAGAAAGGTGAAAAATAAACTTGATTAGGTGTGCCTCTGTCTTAAAAATAAAGCCATGATCAAAGAGAAATAAAAAGTATATCAACATTGTGGAGGAATGGAGGAAATGAATATGACGGTTCACTAACGTATTTGCTTAAGATAGAGGTACAAGTTAAAAAAAGAAAAACAGGGAGGAGAGTACAGAAGCACTATATGTTAATATATAATTACGTAACATATGTAATGTGTTAATTATCAGCATATACATGAAAGTCCTAACCAGTTAAATGACAACTTTCATCAAAGTTTAAGAAATCTATGTGTAGGTTGTTAATAAAAGTTCACTAAAAAAAAAAAAAAAAAAAAAAAAAAACTTAAAATATCATGCAAAGAGTAAAAGAAATTCAGTTTATCTACATTAGTGTAATTTTAAATAGAATTTAATACAAAAAGTATTATCAGATACCACATAATGATAAAAGTTTCAACTCCTAAAAAGGTACAAAAGTTTTAGTTATGGATTTATCTAATAATAATAAATTTATACAGATTATTTGTTATTACCTGTTAGTCCTAAATGGTACTATAAATAGTATTATGTAGTATATTTCACTCCTTATACACACACACATACACACATACCCACACACACATATAAATTTATATGCCTGTATATGCATGTATATACTTATACATCATCACATATATGCATAATATACATTTTATATTTGTGTGTATACATATATATTACATATGCATTTCAGAGAACAACAAGTATAAAAATTTCATGGTAAGAGATTTTGATATTATCTCTTAATTACTAAGTAAATAAGGTAAAAAAAATGTCTGAAAGATTTAGAAAACTTGAACATAATCAATAAACTTAACAAGATTTATTGAACATATATTAGATCCTGAAATCAACATTTAAAATCTCACATTCTGTTCAAGCACTCATGAAATATTGTACTAGTCTATACAAAAAGTCTTTAAATATTTTAAAAGTAGGGAAAATAAATCTATTTCTAATTGACTCTCCTGCCTCTCCCCTATACTTTGCCACTAGAAAAACACATTATTAATTTTCAGGAGTTAGAAAGTAATCCCAACATGATTTAAATATTGCCTTTAACACTTGATGTAAAATGGAGCTAACATAAAAGTTAAACATTAAATTACAAAGACACCATGTATTTGAATAGCTGTGTTCAAAAAATTGACATTTTCTCTGCATGTATGAATTTGTTCTCATGTTTTGTAGAACTAGGAAAATACCACACAATACAGCTTTATGTACAGATGTGTTTATTATTTAATATTATTTCATGCTACTTTTTTTGTGTGTCACTATCTTGTCGTTTACCCAGACTTCCGGCACAGCTGCCAAGATTCGTACACTCCCTCCAGCCGTGAAAACCAAAGCCCTCTGCTAAATATCAACTTAAGATGCTATATACTCATATAAATTATTCATCAAAATGTGTTTCCCTTTGCTCAGGCATCAGTTATGGTGAAATAAAAAATGTCTATTATCTGCCTAAGTAAATGAAGGATTAAAATCAAGCACCCGCGGTTTTCACTTTTCTGAACACAGTAGATACCCGCCCTACTCCCCTCACCCACCATCCTGAAGAACCAGCACTGATTTTTCCCTTGTGATCTTGTGGATTTCAAGGAGATGTCTGGAAATTCTCCTCAAAAGAATACCTACAGGACTCACCTCACTGAAAAAGTTTTCCACAGTAACCCAGATCTTGGGATCTTCAGAAATGCAGGAATCAGTACTTGTTTTCTGTTTGAGTAGGAAGATAAACCAGCAAAGCTCTCAGAAACTGAACTGCAGGATGTTATAATCTCATGAAATTCTAAGAAAATGAAGTATTTCCAAAGATAACAAGGAAAAATAGCACTGATTGGAGTCACTTAATAACTTGACTAGTGCTGGCTGTCTTGTACGGTGCTTTCCTCTATGGAGAGGGGAGTTAGAAAATCATGTTGCGACTCCTCCCATCAAGGCTCTTAGCTTTCGATTCTGCTAGTCAGAGAAAATGAACAGTTTCCTTCCTGACCGAGTCTCAATCAAAATGTAATATTATAGCAAAGTTATACTTAAAGTTTTTTTCTTACAAATACCAACAGACAAGAGCAGTCCCAACATTAGGACTTCCTTGTCCAGCAGATTTACGTGTAGTTCATTAGAAAGCAATCTTCCCTGAAATAAATCTCAAATATAAGAGAAGTAAAGTAAATTACCCAGCTGCTTCTCCCTCCTTTCCTGTTTACAATGTAGAAGTGGCGGGAGGAAATCTTGGTAGAGGTGTCTGTTGCTACAAGTACCTGACTCCCTTTCTGGGATGGGAGTAAGTCTGCTATGAAATTTCTATTGGTTTAAATACTGACTATTTATACTAAGTAGTCATCCAGTTATTAATAATTGACAAACCTGGGGCTTTCCAGAAGCAGGGTATCATTATGAATATGTAGCTCCTTGCGCAAATATGTAGAATTATGACACTAGCTGCCCTCTTGACTAGTACTAGGCTGCTTTCCCTCAATAATTAAATTTATGATTACTCACTTTTCCTGCTTTTTTCCATGAGTAAACACAGGAGGTAGTGGGCTCATATCATGAGAACAGTGAAACCTTGAATTCCTGTTTTAGGAATTTTGTCCATTGCATCTAAGTAACCAAATTTACTGGCATAATGTCATTCATTATATTATTTTATTATCCTTTTCATATCTATATTATCTGTAGTGTCATTCCATTTACATTCCTGTTCCTGATAATTTATGTCATCTCTCTGAAGAGAAGTGCTTAAAAAAGCTCAGAGTCAAGAGGGGAGATAAAAAGATCACTAAAGGAATTTGAAGCCTCTGGCGCTTACAACTATAGCAAACATTAAACCCATTTCTAACACCTAGCCAGATTAACATAAAATCTCATGCTAAACATCTATTTATTTAAGCTCCTATTACCTGATAAAACATGTCTATCTTTCAACAAAAAATGAGAAGGCAAGCTAAAAGACAAAGAAAAACAGAGTTTGAAGAGTCAAAAGAAACATTAGAACCAGATTCAGATGATTTAATATGTTAAGGTTGTAATGGAAAAAGTAGACAGCATGCAAGAGGAGACTGGTAATATAAGCAGAGAAAAGGAAACAGAGAGAATCAAAAGGAAATGCAAGGAATTTGATCCATTGTAATAGAAATGGAGAATATTCAGTAGAGGGGACACAATCTAGGAGATAATCGGTAAGCTCAAAGACAGATCAATAAAAATTTTCCATACCGAAATGCAAAAGGAAGGCATAATATTATAAAATGTAGCATATGCATAGTTGAACAACTAGTAGGTGAAAAAAAAAAAAAAACAAAACAGAAGAAAGCAGAAAAAGCATTTGAAGCAATTGTCGCCAATCAATTTTCAAAATTAATCATAGACTCAAAATCTCAGGTGTGGAAAGCACAGATAATATTGAGTGTGATAAATATCCAAAAGCCTCATATCTATGCATGTCATATTCAAACTGTACATAAGGCAAAGGAAAAAATCTTGATAGAAGCCAGAGAAAAATAAAACACCCAGGATCAATGTGAAGAATTACTTGTAGGCCTCCTCTTCAAGACAGGTTAAATGTTCTTAAGGGAGAAGAAAAATGACATGTCAAAATTCAGATCTATAAGAAGAAAAGAAAAGTGTCAGAGAAGGCATACATAAAGATAAAATAATTTCTGCAAATTATTCTTATTCTAAATTGATATGAGAGAAGGAAGAGATGGAGAAATAGGGAATCTTCTGTTATAAGTTACCTGCATTATATGTGAAGTGATATAGTGGTATTTGAAGGTAGATTTAGATTACTTAAAAATATATTTTGGAAACTCTCAGTCAACTACTAAAAAAAACTAAAAAGAAGTATAATTTATGTGTTAAGAGAGGAAGGTAAAAGGAATCATGTAGAATGCTCAGTTAAAAACAGAATAAGGGACCAAGAAACAAAGAACAAATGCGACAAATAGAATACGGTTACAAACATGGCAGATATTAATCCAACTATGTCCATAACCACAGAAGAGCCCTGATTTATAACACTTGCCAATTTCCATGGTGTAAATATAACCACCTCTGTTGATTTCATAATATCAAATATTTAGCAACCAGCTCATGAAATTCCTGCATATTTGACAATCAGTTCTCTCTAATTTCTAGCTGGGGCATGAATAGGCTCCAGCATATCACTGCTTTCAATTCATTTCACTGACTCCAGACATGGTCTCTCTCTAATGCATTCCTCAGAATAATTGCCAGAATATATGTGTGTGTGTGTGTGTGTGTGTGTGTGCGCGTGCATTGAGATGATAAATGACATTTATTGGGGGTTAAGTTTTAAATATTTACACATATTAACTCAATCCTTAGAACAATTTAGGTTAGTTACTCTTTTGAAAAAAAAATACTTGTACATGGTATACATATATATACGTTAAAATGAAAGAGTGACCAGACATTTTTCTGCATAAAATTTCTCAGTTATGTAACTATTTTTTACAGTAACACTCCATTTTTCTCTTTGTAACTAAAGACAGTTTACTATTTTACCTCTCCGGCTTCACTTTTCCATACCCTTCCACATAAACCAAAGTTTCAGTTGTACAGAGCTATTTCTGTCATTTCATTCTTTTGAGTGTGTGAATGTGACATTTCTTCTGCCTATCAGCATTTTCAATGTCTTTACCTTGCTAAGAACAATAGTACCTACAGCATACTGATTTCTCACAACTCACCGGGACTGTAATAATTAATGTATATGCATTATCTCCCTTGATATTCAAATCACCCTAAGATTCAGAGTTCCCCCATTTTAGAGAAAGTTATTGTCTTAATCGGCTTGGGGTGCTACAACAAAATACCATGGATTAGATAGCTTAAACAATAGACATTTGGGGGTAGGGGAAGTCTAAGATCAAGGTGCTGATCAATTTGGTTTTTGGTGTGGATCCTCTTCTCACTAATAAAATCATGAGGATCCCACCCTCGCGAACTAATTACCTCCCAAAGGCCCCATTTTTCCTTTTTTTTTTTTTTTTTGGCCAGCTGGCCAGTACAGAGACCTGACCCCTTGACCCTGGTGTTATAACACCACGGTATAACTGAACTAACCAACCAGTCCCTAAAAGGCCTCATTTTAAAATACCCTAACATTGGGGGTTAGGGATTTAGCATATGAATTTTGGGGACACAATCCAGTCCATCAAAACTATTTAAGCAATTTTCCTAATATTATGCAACTAGTAAGTATTGGAGCCAGATTCAAACTAGATCTATCTTATTCCAAAGCCCTTGCTCTTGACTGCTAAGCAAAATTACTTTCTTGACTTACTAACTTCTACAAATCTTTTTTTTTTGTTTAGCCTAATATTTATATCCTTTTTCTTTTTAATTTTTTTTTTTAACTTTTATTTTTATTTTTATTTTTTTCCCCTTTAAATTTTTATTTTGTCGATATACAATGTGGTTGATTATTATGGCCCATCACCGAAAACTCCCTCCCTTCTCCTTTTAAGCCTTTTCCCCTTGAATGCCATTCCTTAGTATCTCTTAACAAAATTCTGCACTTAGAATATTAGCACAAGGGCAGTATTTCAATTTTCATAACTCATGCTGGTGTTGGATTTTATGTGTCAAAACACAGAAACCTGATTTTTTAAAAGCCTAAACCAAATTACTTTCTCCTTCCGAAAACTGAAGGTTTTATCCAACTCCCACCTGAATGAAACTGTTAATTCCAGGTACCAGCTTAGAACTTTGGTCTGTTGATCTCAGTGGAAAGTAGGATTCAAAGCTTATCTCCTACCTCATACTTGATATGGTGCTATTTTCTTTCCCCACTACATACATATTTTCTGTATTATCCTGTTTTCCATAGATTGTGTACTACTGAACATATTTATTTTGTGATTTTAATTAAATTATATTGTTCTATAATAGGGCTATTAGAAGATTAAATTCTACAGACAAGTTGAAATAAAAGAAGTGGAAAACTCACACCAAGTGTGAATGTATTTAAACAAGGTGGCTGTTGCAAAAACTTCCTGTGGGACCAAGAGCCATTCTCTGTAAGCAAAGGATAAGTTCAGACCAAAGGGGAAAACTACTGCAGATTGATAAGTAGTCAAAGATTTATTCAGGGAAAACTTACATACAAGGCAATCTTGGGTGGCAGCAAGAACTTGCAATGCATGACTGTACAGCTTTTTATATCAGAGAAGAAAAAGAGAAAATGAAAGAAGGGGAAAAAATTCACTGACGATTTTTGTCCTAGATTTCTGTTGATGTGATATATCACATTTATTGACTTGTGTGTGTTGAGCCAGCCTTACATTTCTGGGATGAATTCCACTTGGTCATGAAGTATATTTTCGATGTCCTTCTGTATTCTGTTTGCTAATATTTTGTTGAGGACTTTTGTGTCTATGTTAGTCTGGCTAATGCCTTGTCTATTTTGTTTATCTTCTCAGAAAACCAACTTTTTGTTTTGTTGAACTGTTGTATCTATTTTTAGTCTTTATTTAATTTACTTTTGCTCTGATCTTAATTATTTCTTTCCATTTGCTAATTTTAGAATTGGATTATTTTTGGTTTTCTAGTTCACTGAAGTGCAAACATTAGGTTGTTTATTTGAAGTCTTTCTTTTGATATAGGCATTTACTGCAATAAACTTCCCTCTCAGTACTGCTTTTGCAGTATCCTACGGGGTTTGGTATGTTGTGCTTTTATTTTTATTAGTTTCAAGAAGTTTTTTTGATTTCCTGTTTAACTTTTGGGGGACCCATAGATCATTTGGGAGCATGTTGTTAATTTCCATGTATTTGTCTAGT